GTTTAGCATTAAAAAAATAATTTTTAAAAACTTTAGAGATTTTATAAAAAGTGATTTATTTTGTAAATATTTTTAAAAAAATTTGAAATTATTTTATCTTGGTTACAATAATAAAAATTCATTTTTTACTTATAATAATAAGTAATATATATATATATATATATATATTTCAATATTAACATTAATATATAAGCCCAACTATTGCAAAAATTATATATCATTAATTTATAAAAGCTGATTTCATTAAAATTTTCTACCCCTATTTAAAACAAATAAAAAAATTTTCTTGTATAAAAAAATTCCTTTTAATTTAAAAAAAATTAGACAAACAGGCCCTTAAATTAAAATGCAAAATTATTAATTTTAAACCAAAATTCGACAGCATAATGGCATAAAAATAAAATTTTCATATGCATCTTACCCTCATTTCAATCACATTATTATCATTATCAAAAATAATAATATCATATGCTATTTAAAACTATAAATTACATATAAGTAACAATTTTGAGTATGCTAAAAGTACTTATATACAATTTCAATCATCATGAAACTTCATATACTACTCAATCATCAATTAAAGAATCAAGGAATAAAAAATTTTCACTCAAACTAATTAAATATTGTTCAAAAAAAAATACATAAAAAAATAGATAATAAATTCGGATAAAAATAAAAATTAAATATAAATCTCTTCCAATCATACATTGTTAGTCTAATATGTATTTTTAAGTGACCCAAAACTTAAACTCTATGTGGGTTCTTGTCAAAGATTATTTTTTTCTATGAAACATTTCATCAAACACCTTGTGTGTGACACCAATAACACATAATCAATATAATCTAATCTAACAAACTAAAAGCTTAATTAAGAATAAATAATTCATATAACAATCAAATACAAAAATCAAGTTAAATCATTTCAGAGAGCAAGAGATTCAGAAAAAATGAAAAGAGAAAATGCAAGCACTTACAGAATGGAGAGCGTGAGGAGAGACAAGAGGTATGGGAGACGAAGACATAGAGCAAGAGAAGAGAGGCATGGGAGATGAAGAGAACATAGGTGTGTGGAGAGGAGAGAGCTTCAAAGAGATTGGATGGCTGCGTGTGAGAGGTCTAAAGGAAGATGTGGAACGAAAATGAGAGGTTTGGAGAGAGAAGCCAAATGAAAATGAATCTGCAAAATGGGCGGGAGAGTTGATATAATTGGACATATTGGACAGTTAAAATCTTAATTGTCCAATATTCATGATCTTTATTAGACAGTTATTCTAAATAATTGTCCAATAAAGTTTAAAAAATTATTCAAAAAATAATAAATTCAAACATATATTGAACGGTTTTAAAAATAATCGTCCAATATATGTTATATATTAGATGGTTACTTATTGAACTATCTAATATTTTCATTTATTGGACGATTATAATTATAATTATCTAATAAGGCCCATCATATATACTCATTTTTTAATAATGTGACTTTATAGATCATGTTTTTTTAAAAATTTTCTAAAATTATCTTTTTAAAATTTTGGTGATGACTTTTACTTTCATTGATTTCCTTTTCAAGGAAATCACGATCCAAATGTGACTGTTAAGAGTAACATGGTCAAATAAGTAAGTCATGTGCACTTTTTTAACTCTTGTAAAATGAACACCCAAATTCGATTTCAAAAGCTCAACAAATGTGCTTCCAATGGCTTTTCAAATGTACATGACAATTTTGAGCTTGTTTTGATTTCAATTGAATATAATTAATTATGAAAATAATTAATTAATATAATTAATTTTAATTATAATTGATTATATTATAACACAATCTGTTTGTATACTATTTTTTTAAAATTGATTTTAACATAAGTGAATATATTTAAATAATTTAATTAGAATTAATTCAAGCTGTATAAATTATCCTAAAGGATATTGCTTTTTATAATTAAATTATTGATAAGGATATTGCTTTTTAAAATTAAATTATTGATAAGGATATTATTTTTTAAAATTAAATTATTGATAACAGATTAACATAAGGCCGATAGCACATGATAAAAAATAAAATGTAACTTGATTGAATTATCAAAACAAAAATGTAACTTGATTGATATAAATAAATTTGTTTAAACCATCCAAATTGCATTTGCATTTCTTTTTTTTTTTCCGATCTAGGCTGGTACTTTTCCCATCCTGTGATCAAGGCTGTGATAAAAAGCCTCAGAACTAGCCTAAGAGGTCATGACAAAATATTAAAAATATGTGGTGTGTCTCAACATAGTCAAGCAACTCAAAAATAAAATTTTACCTTCCATCTCAAATGATCAGCTAAGAACCAAACAAGCACGACTATGACAGTGAGCACATAGGTTGCATTAGGCAGGATATGTATATGCTCAGCAGTCAGCAGTCACCCCACGAGAAGCAGTCTCCCTCAACTTATCAAAAAATCGATTAATTGATTCAGTAATCAATTATCACAAAACTTGGCTATTTGGGTAAATTTGATTTTAATTTATTTTTGGGCCCAAAAAATCGATTAATTGCAGTATCCAAACACACTGCTTGATAGGCAAAAATTACAGAAAAGTAGGAACATTCAGATTTCAAAGGAAATATTCATTATTAATCCACAAAGTACAAACTTAAGGCAACTTCTATTCTGCTAAAGCCAATTACAGCCAAATAAAAGCTGAAGCATCTTACCTTTTGTAAATTCCATTCAAATTACCGTTCTATGTACAGCAAAAGCACACTTCTTTCTACAGTGCAAAAATTATTTCATATTTGTTATATTTTTTATAACTATAACATAAAAAACCACAATTGTGTAATAATTTATAATTCTGCATGTAGATTATGAAATCCTCACTTCAGTCTCATTTTATAAGACATTTGGGTGAGATTTGCCATATAAAAATATAAGATACTTTAATAAAAATAAAATTTTATTAATAATTTTTTTAAATATTACCCTTCCTATTAATTATATTCTTTCTCTTTAATTTTCTTTTAGCCCATTAACTAACAAACACCAAATGCAAATTCAACAACTTTTAGGGACAGGCAAATAAAAAATAAATTTTTCTTCAACCTTGCGCATCGCACGGGTAATTTTTTAAAAACTGATAAGAAAAAAAAAAAAAAAGCCAGAGCATATGGATAAGAGAGAAGAAAAGCAAACTCAGATGAAAGACGGTATTACAAATCCTTTGATGTCCCTTCCTGCTGCAGAGACTCTCTAAAATCTAAATAGCATCATACACCCAAGCCCATAGATCTTTATTTTCCCCGCCATATATCATTTACTAGGTGTCTGCAAAAAAAAAAGACACCCAAGCCCATTATCACCTAGCCCACTATTTATTAACCTCTGGCCCATTAGGTTGAAACTCCCAATCCAATTCATAAGTTATATTATGTCAATAACTGAGAATACGGGCAGGTTTGGCTCTTAAAACACAATCATTCATTTTTAATCTTTTTTTTGAGGCTTGACCCTTATATAAAGGACTTAAGGCCGAGCCCGGACGTTTTTTTAAAAAAATTGAAATAAAATTGAATATTATAAATTAATTAAAACATTTTGAAATTAAAAAAATAAAATTCAGACAATATTTTAAAAATTAAACAATATATTTAGAAATCTAAACAATACACATTCATCAATCAAAACTCAAATCCTCCTTATTCTCATCATCTATAAATAAAACATTAGATCCCTCAGATGTAAGTGTACTTATTGAAGATGGACGTGAAAATTTAATATCAATTACTTTTACAATTTCTTCTTAATCATCTATAATAAATATTAACTAAATTGTGTCATTATCAATCAAATATATGTATGCATGTGTGTGTGTGTATATATATATATATATATAAAATAACAAGGCTTATTAAGGCTTGGAGGGCCACCCGAACCTAAGCCCTTTTTCATAGGACTTATCAAGGCCAGGCCCTCAAGCTCGATTTTTTTTAAAAAATAATTTTCAAAGCTCGAACCTTTATTTAAACAATACCTACAAGCCTGGCCCTCCAGGCCTCCAAGCTCGTTCATGACACTGATCAAGAGTAGTAAGAGAAGAAAATATGTTTGAAAGTAGTGATGGGAATCAGAATGGGGCCGACCCTTAAGGACTTAGCCTTTATGGGCTTGATTCTTAAAGGCTCAAGTCCTATAGTTTGATTACCTAAAATTTAATCTAATTTGGAGAGTCAGTGCTTATTTATAGGGTTTAGGGTTAGGCTCTTAAATCCTTTGTTCTGAAAAAATTCAACATTTTATTTTAAACAATATATTTTAAAATTCAACATAAAATAAATTAAAGTCTTATATAAAATTTAACATAAAATTTGATAAAGATTTAAAATTTTAAATTTAAGATAAATATTAAAATCTTTATTAATGTAAATCTAAATCTTCATCATCATTATTTAAAAATAAAATATTAAATCCCTCAAATATAGGTTCACTTATTGAAGATGGAGGTAGATATTTAATATCAGTTATCTCTACAACTTTTTTTTTATCACCTATAATAAATATTAATTAAATTATGTCATCATTAGTCAAATATATGCATGTGTGTGTATAAGATAATCCAGTTTATTAGGGTATGAATGGCCACCCAGGCTCTAGTATTTTTTTTATAGAGCTTATGAGGGCTAGGCCTTCAAATTTGGTTATTTTAAAAAAAATTAATTTTTAAAATTCAAACTCTTATTTAAATAGGGTCTTCAAGCCTAATCTTTTAAGCACGATTTTTATTCCTAACTCTATTTAACCGTCATCCTTTTGAAGCCCATAGTACTTGAATTCGGATTAATCAGAGCTTTGAATACTGAATGGGCATAGCAAAGAAAAATGGGAAGACAAAATTGTCCTTGACTCATTTTTTAAATTACTTTCCAAACTATTCAATTCATTATTATTATTTTTTGATACACAATGCAATTCATTATTTTAATATTAAAAATTTAAAGTCACTCTTCTTAAATCAGTGGACGTCTCCCCTCTATCTCCATCGAAGCTCCATGGCTTCCATACCCACAGCCTCGTTCTCTTCCTCGATTCCCTTCGTAAAGCCTTTCACGAGATGCTTTCCCTACATTCTGAAACACTCTTCCAAAATGGCTTCGATGCACGCCGCAATCCATGGGGGAAATCTCAAGGCGATGCTTCTCTACTACAACAGCAGGAAGTGGCTGTCAATGGTCTCGGCTGTCGCCACTGATTCGTTGGAGTCCACGATTTCTGCGGAGAAAAACCAGAACGATAAGAAAGAGAAAGTTGTTCTTCCGACGAACGAGTCGTCTCAGAGGCTACTCAGAATTCGTCACACGGTATTGGAATATGGTCTGCTGTAATTGCTGTTCATTTTGCCCATTTTAATTGAAGAGGATTATCAATTAATAGCTTGATTTCTTTCATCTTTGTTTTGTATTTAGTTGTGTGCTGATATTATATGTAATTGGTTGAAATTTATAGCTACTTGACTGATGAGGCATGTATTCTTTTGGAGATCTGTGAAGAGTGATCATTATTCAATTTCGCAAATATAACATGAATAATTTAAGTAATGATGTTGTAGAAGTTGAATAAGAGAAGATTTTGTTAGGAATGCTTAAATTATTCTATTTTTGGTTTTTATAATTGATAGCAAGTACGATTCTCACACCAGAAAATACTTGCATGTTTAACTATTTTCTTTATTTTTATGTTTTTTGTGGTCTGGGAGGGGATAATAATATGATACACAACATAAGGGTGGGGGGGAACTCTTTAGTTGACATCTTGACGGCTACACTCTCTGTCATTTCACTCAGTTTTCTCATTTGATAGAGCGCTCTTGGAGTCCTTTACGGAACTACTGATCATCAGCTTTTACACTAACTAATGGGAACAAGTGGTCGAGAACCAATCCACTATAATGCTCCATAGAGTGTCTCATGCTTCTCAGTATGGGGCTTAGGTATTCTATACTTAGTTTCCATTACAATATGAGATATCTAGGTGTTCTGACATGCAAAAAAGATGAAAATAGTTTCAGTGTTAACATATAGGATGCACAGAACAGACTTTTAGAGGACAAGTATCCTTGATTTTCCAAAGCACAGTATTGAAGCTATTGACTGATTGAATACTTCCTGTCTCTATTTTTCTGTGTAAAATAGATGTAATTGTTACTGAACACATTTTTTGTGTCTTTATATGCATTAACAAGTTGTTTGTACACAGTGTGCACATGTGATGGCTATGGCTGTGCAAAAGCTTTATCCTGATGCAAAAGTCACAATTGGGCCTTGGATCGAAAATGGGTTTTATTATGACTTTGATATGAAGCCTTTGACAGATAAAGATTTGAAGAGAATCAAGAAAGAGATGGTAAGCAATGTAAATTCATTAGATTTGAATTATTTCAAATTTCAAATTCTTATATTTGAGAGGTGGGTTTACAATGCTTTGGAAGTCATGCATTAGGCTATACTTTCTGGTAATGTAATTTTATTTCTGAAATTTCTTGTAGGATCGAATTATTGGAAAGAATTTTCCCCTTGTAAGAGAAGAAGTTTCAAGAGATGAAGCTCGGAGAAGAATATTGGATTTGAATGAACCTTACAAGCTAGAGATTTTGGATAGCATTAAAGAAGAGCCCATCATAATTTATCATATTGGTAGGCTTCTGTCTCTCTTCACCATTTACTTTACCATTAAGTACTTTGAGAGTTGAACTTTTATTTTAACTTTAGCTGGACTGGTTAACATGCTTTAGTTGAATGACAATAGACAAAGCAGTGTGTTTGATATTGAGATTGTAATTTTGATTTAAATGAAGAGGTCAAGATGTTCTCAGAAAAAATATTATGCAGGCTTCATATGGCATTAAGAATTAAGTCATGTCCAAGAAGCTTCCATTTGCTTGTTATCTCACCTTTTGTCCTTTTTCATTTAAGGCAATGAATGGTGGGACCTATGTGCTGGACCTCATGTTGAAACTACTGGAAATATTAACAAAATGGCAGTTGAACTTGAATCTCTTGCTGGTGCCTATTGGAGAGGAGATGAAAAGAAGCCAATGTTGCAAAGAATCTATGGCACTGCATGGGAAAATGAAGAGCAATTGAAAGCATACCTTCACTTCAAAGAGGAAGCTAAGCGTCGGGATCATAGGCGCCTAGGGCAAGATCTTGATTTGTTTTCAATACAGGTTCCAATGCTTTTTAAAGTGACTGTGCTTATATTGTCCTGTACTATCTTGATTTGGATTCTTATTATGGTTGTGTTGATGATAGTTATGAGTTGAGTTTATTGTCTTAATACTATTTAGATTTTGATTCTTGTTTTGGTCTGAGTTCAGCAGCTTTCAGCTTTCAGCTTTTTGTTCATGAATTTGTGATATGCAACTCTTGATGCATGATGAAAAATCTTGCACCTAATTTATTTGACCTCTATTAATTTTAGTAGGATGAAGCTGGTGGGGGTTTAGTATTTTGGCACCCAAAGGGAGCTATTGTGAGACACATAATTGAAGATTTATGGAAAAGGATTCATATGGAACGTGGTTATGATCTGCTGTATACGCCACATGTGGCTAAAGCAGATCTTTGGAAGATAAGTGGCCATTTGGACTTCTACAAAGAGAATATGTATGACCACATGAATATTGAAGATGAGCTTTATCAACTTCGGCCAATGAATTGCCCTTATCATATTTTGGTATACAAAAGGAGGCTTCATTCTTATCGGGATTTTCCTATTAGGGTAGCAGAATTGGGGACAGTTTATAGATATGAGTTATCTGGAAGCTTACATGGCCTTTTCCGTGTTAGAGGCTTCACCCAGGTGTGCTGTCATATCATGCTTGAAGGTTTATTACTGTATAGCTTTTAATATTCTTTATTTTCTTTTGAACTTAATGAGATCGAATTGATTTTAAATATTAATTTTCATTGTTGATTTTACTTATTTGACTTTTTCCTTAGACATATATATAGCACATGATACCTTAGTGCATTTTTCTCTGGAATTTTTCTAGCAAAATGCATTCTGATAGATAGCTCTTATTTGATCTCAATCATTTCCGCAGGATGATGCACACATTTTTTGTTTAGATGACCAGATTAAGGATGAAATCAGAGGTGTATTAGATCTTACTGAAGAAATATTGCTGCAATTTGGTTTTGACAAGTATGAAGTAAATTTATCTACAAGGCCTGAGAAATATGTTGGAGATGACATTATATGGGAAAAAGCTACTTCTGCTTTGAAAGATGCTTTGTATGATAAAGGGTGGTCCTATCAAATCGATGAAGGAGGAGGTGCATTTTATGGGCCGAAAATTGATCTCAAGATTGAGGATGCCCTTGGTAGGAAGTGGCAATGTTCAACCATACAGGTAATCCTGACGTTGGAAAGCGTTGCCTCAATTCTGTATGTTGTTATGACCTAGTTAGCTTATTACTGAGTTTACTGGAAATGCTGTGCTGTGAGGGAAAGCATGTGGCATGAGTGGCAAAGCAGGCCTGCATTTTGAATATGAAAATAACTTGGGACTTTTTGCTCAATGACTTCACAGGTTGACTTTAATTTACCCCAGCGTTTTGACATCACTTATGTAGACTCAAACACAGAGAAAAAGCGACCTATATTGATCCACAGGGCAATTCTAGGATCCTTGGAAAGATTCTTTGGTGTTCTGATAGAGCATTATGCTGGTGATTTTCCATTATGGCTTTCTCCAATACAAGCACGAGTTTTACCAGTTACCGATGCCCAGGTAATTAAGCTTTTAGATATTTATTTATGTCTCTATAGGAGTTCTTTGGTGATTCTCTCATTTCTTTCATATAGTCTTAATTTCGAATGTTTCAAAACGGATAAATCTATGAATTGGTAACGGGTGGTTTATCGGCCCAACAATGATTGAATTGGTTGTATTTTTTAAAAAAATCTTGTATATCACATAGCAATATATGAAAAACATAGTGTGTAAAATTTATAAGTATTTGTGATTAAAGAAGAGAATGATTAAACAATATTACTAGCCTATCTATAATATTATTGAATAACTCAATTATGCATAAAAGTTCACAATTTTGAATGATATGCTATTTGTTTTCGTTAGCACTTGATATAGTATTTTAGGAATTTATTTTACTTCAGAAACATGATAAAATGAATATCTTATACATTATCAGTTAAGAAAAGAATCAACTGAAGAACTGGCAGCATTACTCCACTTCATAGTGTTGCAAGTTTAAATTCTTTTAACTTCCAAATTTTTAGATTTATCAGCTTACCAGTTTAGTGACTGTCGCTAATTGAATCAGTTTGACCTGATTTCTTGGACTAGCTGGTTTTTTTTTTAATTATTATTTTTATCTCTTCCCTGCTCCTTAAGCAGGTTGGTTAGAATATTGAGATGGAAGTATGGTTTTCAAATCTATGCTATTTTCTCATCCTACACAATATTTGATCTGTAATGATGAGCTTTAAGACCTGTCATTCAATATAGACAAAATCAGATATATATTACATTTGAATGGATGGGGATACTTACATATAAAGGCAAAATGACAAAACAAACTAACTGATTATTTACATGAAACTTGTCATCACTTGTCATTGAATTTTTTAAAGCTGTTTTTGTAATGCCCTCATTGATAATACCATACGATCCTCCTCTTAACCTATTGATCAATTCGAAGTCTTTTATTTTGAAAACTTTGGGATCCCAAATAAAATATTTCCAAATTCAATAATAATAAAACCGATTTGTAAAATAATACACAGCAGAAGCACTATACAATAGCACCTAAAAGTCAACTAGAAAACATGTGCAATTCCATCAAATTAAGTCAAAATAGGGGTTGTGCGTCATGGCTTGTGTCGTGCCACATGTATCGCGGCATGTGGCACAGAGACCACGGCTGCTCGCTCTATGCCATGCACCACGGTGCACACACCTAAATCTGCTGTCACACAACAATTTTTGGTGCAAACTTCAGAGATGTGTGGTTTTTACATCCAATGTCCGATTGGGGTGGTTCAAGCACTTACACGAAGCTTATTTCAAAATCTAACTAATGACACTATTTAAATCCGATATTCCATTTGAAAATTAGACACCTGAGTACATTTTGACTACTTTAAGTCAAAATTTACCACTTGAGCATCTCCAATTGAGACAAAATCATTGGCTACTTTTAGGGTCTTGACCACGTCCAAATGGACAATAGACACTTAGTTGACTAATTATATATATAATATAACACACATACGCACAATTGGCCTATAAATTGTCCATTATGCACTTTTGGGCAAAAATTCCATTTCTTCATATTTATTTCCATACAAGGCCAAAACATTCTCATATCATCACATAATTCGCCTCTATATACACCTACACACATTACTAGCCTATACTATCTTTCTACCACATACACATACGATGGGCTATATCGCAAAAATCACACACATGTATACATTCACAAGTTTATACGCAAGTATAAATTTTTATGGCAACTTATAAACAAAACCACTATTATCTATTCAAATTCATTACACCATCTTACAATGGGCTTTGTAGAGAATCCTTTATCCCTAGCCCAAATCCTTTCCCTTCGTACTACTACTACCAAAACCTGAAAAATATAAATAACCATAGGTGAGATAAAAATCTCAGTAACCAACATAATTTATTTAATGTTTATTAGCACAAGTAACAATGCCAAAATAATAAAACCAAAGTATAGCATGTATACAAATTCATTATAACTTAGCTTTTCTCTTAAAAGCCCTTTTTCACATTCAATATATTAACATGATCATCTATCCACCGATTTTCCAAAGCTCCTTGACGCGAAACCATAGGCTCTACTGGACCAATCACTCATTGACCCGAGCACATTTTCGATGGTAGAAACACTCGGCCAAAGGCACTCTATTTCACTTACGGACCATGGTTTCCCTCATGTCACACACTTGTGATAGAGGTATTGTTGATTCCTAATCGCACCCTAACGGGCACTAAGGAGTTGTCAGACTGTTCGGATGTCCTATGGTAATAGTCCCAATATATGTTGCACTAAATTACCCATGATAACAGCCTGTAATATGTTGCACTGTATGGCCCATGGTGCTAGCCTGACCATATGGATTTGTTTACTCCCAGCTCCACACACACACATCCACGCATATCCTGGGTGAACTCTCACCCTCTATGATTATGCTTTTCACACATAATTCACTAATTTTCCACAATTTGCACAGTATGTATATACATATATATATATATAAAAGCTAGAAATCGTCAATTTTCATTTCACCAATTCAATTTCATGTTAAAGCCATTTACAATGTTAAATCATACATAAAAAACCCATAAAACACAATTTCACATTTACTTCTACACAATTACAATAACTAATCAACACAACAAACTATATAGTTATCTCAACCCTTCTGTTCAATAGAAAGGGTTACCTGTTTTTCACAACTCTATTTGTGCTTCTTTTCACTATTTATGCGTCCAACACTAGAATCTACTCAAAAGTGACTAACCAAAGTCAATCTTGCTATTGATAAAAGTGTCAATTACCATAATTAAACATCTAATTGCTTTCACTTCCTCTTTTCATACTCATTCACATGTATTATGGGCAATTATCATTCACTACCTGCGCTAACCTTTATTTAGCCCAATTCCTTTCATTACTTTCTCTCTAGATTAGGTTAAATTGAGCCTACAGCTTCAAAACTTTATCATTCCGACTCAGACTAGTCACAAAATATTAGTTTAGTCCTAGAAGACCTTTTTATTATTATAGGGTAAGAAATCATCTCGTTAAAACTTTTGAATTCAATTTCTCACTAGTTAAAAGTAAGAGAAAACAGGGTAGAATTGCAGTTAAGGCATAACAAGACTTACCCGATAAGTAACAGGTTGGAAACGTCGTCCTTTTTCTGAAAATCATTGCCCTAGCAGATATTGGCCTTTTCTTAACGCCTAATCTATCTTCTCTTGATCTCTCTTTTGTTTTCATGAGCTGGACATGTTCTCATTTATTAGAACTCTACACCATGCACCGTGGCATACCCCATCCTTCGCTGTGACACATGGTACAGTGAGAAAAGTGCTCACTATGCTCACACACTCTGCACTGATACCTCATTCTTCCCCTCATTTTTGTTCATATAACTTCTCAAGGAGTCAATATAATATTCCACTATTTAGAATACTAATCTCATATTGAATTACTAATTCATTCTATAAATAGTAATTAATGCAAGATTAAAAATTTGGGATGTTACAATTTTTTTATTTCATCTTCATTGATACAGGCAACCAATCAATAGCTCTTGATAATTAGAACTCCCATGGTGTATTTATCTCACAGATAACACTAGTCAAAATAGCCTCACAAGTTTGAATAAAATTCAAACTATATTTTAATCAATTGAAGTCTTCTCTTTAAATATACCATCTACATTTGTGTAGTATTTAAATAAAGAAAAGACTCTTAACTTGGAGCCTAATCATACTAAGACACTTTAGAAAACCCTAATTTAAAAATCCTAATGGACAACTTAAGCCTAAAAGCATATTATAGGATATTAAAGCTTAAAAAATTCATGAAACAAAAGTTATAAAATAAATAAATACGAAAATTCATAAGAAATAGAAAAACTTGACTGAGTAAAAATATATGGACTCTAATTGCATTGGTCTTCATGTAATGCCTTTTATAAGTCCATGTAAGCCGTCATTAAGCTCATCAAGTCTCTTCCAAGTACTATTTATGTATTGGGCCTTCAATATGTTGATTTGGATTCCCAATATGTATTATAGCCTCTTGTAAATAAATCTCTCCGCTTGGCCTTTTCTCTGCTTGAATGACTTTGGCTTTGGATGAATTGCTTACACAGCATGCCACCAAAGACTTGTTGCCACATTTTGCCATCTAGGACTTGATTGCTACGTAGGATCACATAAATAATTGTGTATTTAAGTCAAATCCCCATTTTAACAGATCATAGTTTGGATGCCTTTTTCTCTATTGGGTGAGAGACAATATATTATCTATGAATTGAAAAGGAATATTTCCATCTTCACACAGCTTGAATACTGCAATGATGTGACCGACAAGCTGAAAGCAAATGGAATTCGAGCTGAAGTTTGCCATGGAGAGCGCTTGCCGAAGCTTATAAGAAATGCAGAGAAGCAGAAGATTCCATTGATGGCAGTTGTTGGACAACAGGAAGTGGACACGCATACTGTGACTGTTAGATCGAGGTTTGCAGGGGAGCTTGGAACCATGTCAGTTGATGATTTTATCAGCAGAATAAAGTTGGGTACGGAAAGTTCAGCATCTTCATGAGATTCTTTCAATTAAAAGATGCTGGCCACCCTATTTGTTCAAGGAAAGATTGGAACAATCTGAGTCATTTTGAGGGGTAACAACCTTTGTACATTAGAAAATAATTAGTTGAATACAGATCCCTTGAAGGTGTTTCCTTCTCGTAAAGTGTGGCCAGTAAGTGTATGAAATGTAGATTCAATCATGAGTTGGGTTTAATTAAAAATAAAAAAGGAAAGTAGCAGAAATGATATAATTCATAGCAACTCACTTTCGGAGCTGATCATTAGTTAACCATGACCATGTGTTCTTGGTAATAGATGAAGTAAATGCAATTTGAAGCTGTACATTCGAACCAAAAGTATGTGTATCTTGGAGGAATATTGGTGAGATTTTGTATATCAAAATTGAACATTATTTAATGTAATCTGGCTTGATTGTTAGGTGGTGCACATTGTTATATGCCAGCTCAATAAAGAAAATTGCTATATGCCAAATCTTTCTGATTTATCATTTGCTCGGAGATCCGAAATCTCATGCTTCTTAATTTTATAGCTAAAATGTGTAATCATCAATGGTTATTTCATGCATTTTTTTTGGGGGGTCTTAACATTACCCACATTGGACATATTCTATTTGAATTGTAAACTGAAACTTTCTTATTTTACGTTGAGAAAGCATAATGGTTAGTTGTTATAGTTGGCATATTGGTGTGCTGCTTTTAGTTCTTGTAAGTGTTTTTTTTTTTACTTTTAATCAATCTTTATAGTTTTTGCTCGTCCAAAATGTTAGTCCTCAGGTAATTAACAGTGTTAAATTTGCTAAGGTATAATTAATACTGTGGTGTGAGCCGGGAATATGCGTCGAGTTATGTGAATTGGCCCAAATAACCAGTTATAAAGATCAGGTTGAGTTAAAAAAATTGGTCCAAATAAATTTTTTTTTTAACTCGACCATATAATATGCAAATTGTATGTCCCTTGATAAGTTAAAGTTAGCCAGTTTAACTCATATTATTTTAAAAAAATTTTAAAAAAAGAAAAAGGAAAAAATTGTGGTTTAGTTGGATTAATTTATATATTTTAGACAAATATTATAAATTAATATTTTAATATATTTAAAACAAATCATGAAGGAATATTAAATTAAAATTTATTATTTAAGTATATTTTTAAAAAATTAATAAAAAATAAATAAATAAGTTGACATTTTTTGCCTATTTAACTCATCAATTCTCAAAGGTTAGGTTGAGAATTTTTTTAACTCATAAAAAAATGAGTTGAATTTAATCTAAATCATATTTTTTTCAACTTATATGAGCTGAATTAACTCATATTCTCACTTCTACTTGTTGAAATAAAAATGAGAAAAGGAAAACAAATTAGAATTAGCTGGAATAGAAAAAAAAAGACCAAAAAAAAAAATTAAACTCATTCGCATGGGTGAGAGCTCGGAAGGACTTCGCGTGAAGACACTACCGCCGGAGAGCTCATCGGACGGAGATGGAAACTCCCCGGAATAGTGAAGGTGGGTCCCAATCATCGACAAAGCTTTCTATTCCAGCCATTTCATTTCGCATTTTCCGCCATAATCGAAATCGAACAGAGGTTAGAACTTATTTATTCTTCTTTAAGCTCCTGGGACTACGACGACACCACCACCATATTCTCTCCCTATGGCAGCTCTTCTGAGTTTTCCAGCTGCGACAACAAAGGGAGGGCGTCGAAGACGGTGAGGGGTGTGGGCAGGGTGGGAGGCGAAGGCGTGGCGGCGGAGAAAGATTCCAACGACCCTTTTCTGGACATCAGGCATTCCCTCCTCCAAATGATACTGGAGAATAAGATTTACGTGGCGGACGATTTCAGAAAGCTTCTGCGATGCTTTCTTCTGCTCAATTCACCGTACCACCATGGGTTATTGTCAGAGCTTTCTTCTACGAACTTTTTGTAATTTGTTTTTTTCTGTTCTCATTTTTATTTCACCAAATGTTGAGTCATAGTATGTGCCAAATGTACAAAATTTAATATTCTAATGGGGCTTAGTCAAATGGTGAATAACTCGATTTCACTTAAATAAAATCTTAAGTTTAGCCTTGTGTGTGGAAAAAAATTTCTGTTGGGAGACTCAACTACCATAATTAAGTATGTGACATGAGTTGTATCTGAATTAACCAAGATAAAACTCTAAATATCAGATGGCAATTCAAAAAAAGAAAAGTCACATCTCAATATAAATTTAAGAAAAATGACAATAAAAAAACTTTTTATTTATAAAAATAATATTTTAGTCTTTTAAAATATTATAATTCTACTAAGATTCCTAAAAAAATTTTTATCATTAAAAAATTAATATAAATTATTAAATTATTTTTAATTCAAAAATCAAATGTCATTTATAAGTTTTTATTTTAAGATTCATAACTTTTATTTTTAAAATCATAAGAATTTAATAGTAATTTACAAATTCGTATTTAAAATTATGATATTTCTCAAATATCACAAATATCAATTGTCATTTATAAGTTTTGTTCTAAAATTTATAACTTTTTTTTTAATTTCAAAAATTTAATAACAATTTACAAGTTCAGATTAAAAATAATTTGATTATTTATATTAATTTTTTAATAACAGAAAAGTTTCAAAAGACAACATGAAAATTATGATATTTTGAAGGATTAAAATGTTATTTATATAATTTAAAAAAATTTTATTATTATTTTTCTTAATATTATTCAATGGTGTTAAATGTTAATTATACTTCAGTGAACTTAACACCGTTATGACTGAGGAACTAACATTTTGAACGGCAAAAACTGTAGAGATTGATAACAAAAAAAGAAAAATACAAATACTAAAAGCAAAACACCCATGCATTATGAAACTATAAGAACGAAACGTTTTCCTTTTACATTTGATGTCGTCGCCATATGTGTTTGTGATCCCAGAGCGATTACTGTGATGCTTCGTATTACAAATTGATATTTAATTTGGCTACTTCCATTAATTCAATCTTAGACTACAATCTTCTTTATAATTCACCGGCAGAGGTCACAATTTTTTTTTTTGGTATTGTTTTTCTTTTTCTCTTTTTGTTGGTAACCGTATAAATGTATTTACAAATTACGTACATACACAAGCATTTTTACTCTCTTTTCAAGGTAAAAATGAATATTAAAAATTTCTTACATGTATTTGTTAGGTACTTAGTGTGTTCGATTCAGTCTATTAAAAGTCCATTTATTAGATGATCATTTGACAAAAATTAATTTGATAAAATAGAATTTATGTTTAAATACATTTTTTAAAGATAAATTAGTTGTTAGAATGAGATTATTTCAAATATGTAATTACTAAAAAGTAAATGAGTTTAATTATATATATAATATTAAAATACATATGATGTAAAATTTAATATGTAGAATAAAAATATAAATACTTGTGTGTGTGTGTGTGTGTAAAAGAACAATAGAATTAAATATCAATAATTACTCTCTTTATTTAAAAATATAAGATATTTTTTAAGAAGTTAAATGGTAAAAAATATAAGACATTTTTAGTTTTTTGAGATGTAATAATCACCTTTTTTTTAAGTATCCCTATTAATAATGGCTTTATATTTATTGTAGGATGTTTAATAGAGGTATATATAAAAAGATAGGGTTAGTTTAAAAGTAGTTAACTATTTTATTGGGGTGAGATTTGATTAAAAATACCTTATATTTTTTAATGGAGGAAATAATTAGGTTGAATGGTGATTTTTTGTTTTTCAATTATTTGCACAATAGTGTATAGTATCCTACACTTTTTTGAAAACAGTACAATTTTGCCCTTACAGTTAAATAGATTAAATTTAATTATTAGTTAACTCAAACAATTATATAAAAGGACCTCATATATTATATTGAAGGACCCTATAAGAAAATTAATATCAATATAAAGTATTAAAATATTATTTTGATAAGTCACTTTGATTAATTACTAGATGATTATCGAATTATCATTGCAGGCAATAACACCAATAAAAATAATTAAATATTAAAGTGTTAATGTTTTAATAATATATTATTAAAATAAATATATATTTTCAATTAATTATCATTGTTTTTGCCAACAATGATGATCTAATGATCATTCAATAACCTATCAAAGAGGCTGGTCAAAATAGTATTTTGGTGTTTTACATTATAAGAAATAACATTTGTCTTTAGGTATTTATTTATAATTTAAAAGACTTAACCACTATTATTTTTTTCTAAAGTACTTATTTGTAATTTTTTATTTTTTGGTAATTTTTATATCTTATTCTGTAATTTTTTGAGTTAATTAATAGTTAAAATTAATTTTTATTAATAATAGGAGCAACATAACATCATTTTTAATTATTGAAGAGAGACACTGCATCACAAAAAGAGATCATGATGCTAGACGCTCTGCACAAACAATTGAAGGGTAAAAATTCCTTTTAATCTTAATCAATTCATAACAAAATTTCTTTTAATTTGTAATAAAAATTTTTTTAATTATTTTAAATTTTATTTTTAGATAATGAGAAAGTAAGACTATTAAAATCTATTGACAGTACATATAACGGAATGTTGAAGGTCGCCATATAGATTAAGGAAAATAAATATAAATATTTATATTCTAAATGTCCAAATACAACTTTTATACATTTTTTCTATATCTTCTTAAGAAAAAACGCTTTATAATAAATTAAAAAAATAAAAATTTAAGCTAAAATAAGCAAAAAAGTGTAAATTTATTCTGAAACTTTTTATTTTAGGCGTGCTTGATATCTTAATTTTATTTTTAGAGCAATATCAACATTTAAAAATTAGGTAGTTTTACCCCACTGTTAACTCAAAACGACATTGACTGTTAAGTATATTACTTTGACTAAGATGACCTGGCAAGCTGTCTTCTCTCTCATACTTAAGGCAACTCCTGATTCATGGAGAACAAATGTGCCGTAAATGGCGGCCCGTAATGAACTCCATCTCCTTGCTCAGCCTCTTTCCCAGGAAAAACCCAACACTAAAGTGCTTCCTATACTCAATCTCATAGCTTTTATCACCACTACTTCTTATTGTGAGGGTTAACTCCTGCAACTAAAACTCTCCCATCAGGAAGAAGAGTTGCTGATGAGTGATACATTCTAACTATTTGGTTGAACTAAGAACTAAGAGGCTAGTCTTCTTGGGCCATAGAGGTAAGGTTGAAGAGAAGCGTTTCTTGCATTGTCGACTAGGTTTATCTTCTTCCTGGTCTTCTTCTTATATAGTAATGATAATAAAATAGATTTTTCTACGGCATGATTCACTTGTTATCCGGCTGTGTATTCAGTAGGCAATTAAAAAAAAATACAATGTTAATTAAAAAAAAAAAAAGGAATGATGCGTGCGTGTGATGAGTGATGGGAGAGTGAGAAGGTACTAGATTGGTGAGAAAGGAAAAAGGAAGAACTATAATGTGCATTGCTAATTAAAAATACAAGAAGGCCAAGGAAAGGAAAAAAACGAAGGAAAAGAGTTGAACTCAACCCGTTGTCCTCTCAGGGCGTGGGAGCCTAAAGGCAATTAAGACAATTGCCTCGGGTCTCAAAAAAAGTCATTAATATCCCGAATATGAAGAAGTGATATGTATTTATATAATTTTGTAATAAATATTAAATGAAAAAAATAAAGGCCCAATTCTTCTTCCTACTAAAGAATGAAGATATTTTCACATTCTCAAAATAATATTCAATTATTAAGTTAGCTTTAACCTAGTCATTAATTATTATTTATTCTCTTTCTACATATTATAATTCTTTATATTTTGTAAGATCCTTCAATCTATAAATATGGACATAGATATTGCTATAAATTATTTAAAAGGATTTATTATTTATTTAATGAATTGTAGAGAAAATAGTTTTGCATTTGCTTTGGAATTTACAAAAATTATGGCTACTGAAACGAACATAAACCCTAATTTTTGTCAAAAAAGTATAAATAATAAAAAAAATATTTTAATGAAAATATTAGTGATGAGATCATGCATTTAGCAAAAGATTCTTTTCATTTTAAATATTTTTTATACGTTTTAGATCAATCAATTTATTCTATTAAGAGTCGATTTGAACAATTTTTAGAATATGAAATTATTTTTAATTTTTTATTTGGATCCAAAAAATTTAAAACTTTGGATGATGATGAATTGAAAAAAATTTGTATTAATATTGAAAAGTTCTTAGTTTTAATGACAATTATGATAAGTGGTTTTGATTTATTTTCAAAATTAAAATTTTTGAGAGAAATATTAACAGAAAAAATTAACAAACTAGTTGAAATATTAAACTATATTAAAAGATTAAATACTTTTTTAAATGTATGTATTGTTTATAGAATAATATTAGCAATACTTATAATAGTTGTTATTGTAAAAAAAAGTTTTTTAAAAATTAAAGTTGCTTAAATCCTATTTAAAATCAAATATGTCATAAAATTAATTGAATGGACTAACTTTATTATCTATTGAGAGTGAAATATTAAAATTATTTGATTACAAAATTTTATTATCTGATTTTTTGACTCAAAAAGTAAAAAAAAAATAATATAAAAATTGATAATTTATTATATATTAGGCCTCAAAATCCCTTGATGCGGCCTGTGTCCTCTGTTTCGTTCCAGAAAAACAGAGCAACAATTACAACGTGACTGAAGAGATTAATGACAAATGCAGCAAGAGTCATTAGAGGTTTACACGTACGGTACTAAGGAGTGTGTGTGTTTGGGGCCGAAGAAGATTCATGGAGTGTTTGGTTATCAGGATCGGAATCCAAGTTTTGTGGGTCGGGCTATGAAGTGATGAGTTCGTGGTATTCATGATGAAGACAACTGATGTGAGATGGATGTCGTGCAGACAAGAGGCCTCTGTGCCAAACAGGGATTTTTGAAAGAGGAGTGTGAG